GGGGGGGGGGGGTGTGATCGATACGTTCTGTAAAATCAGCATGGCTGTAAAAGGAGAATGCATGGGGATTCTGTTACAGGTTTCCCTTGATTTATGCAGATTTTTGTATGCAAATTCACTCTTATGCAATGAACATATTTAGACCTATAATTTGTTATATGCGAGGTAAATTCGCTCTTATGCGATGAGCATAGATGCTGCCCCGCCCAAGCAGGTAAGCCTGTGGGGGGAAGGGAAAGGGCCGTGGCCCCACTCACCCCAGCCCTGGCTGCAGCAGCTCCGGGAACAGCCAACACCAGCTGCCTGCACCAGGGTACGGCACAGCCCAGGAGCAGAGGTGAGTGGGGACAGGTGGAGCACGGTGCAGCCCAGTGGCTGCAGGCAGCTGGCGCCGGCTGCTCCCGGGGCCGCTGCAGCCGGGGCTGGGGTGAGTGCTGCTCTGTTCCCTCTGCTTTGCTGCCTTGTGCAGCCCCAGGAGCAGCACCCCTTCCCCTGCCCCTTCTCTAGTCTCAGCCTCACTCCTTCCCTCCCTCATGGTCTTAGGAACCTATTCCTATTTCTTCCATTGTAAAGTGGGTTCGCTTTATGCAAATTTGATTTATGTGCCATTCTCTGGGAACACACGTACGGCATAAATCAAGGGAAACCTGAACAGGATGCGGTTCAACGAGGACAAGTGCTGGGTGCTGCACCTGGGGAGAAGGAACCAGCATTATGGTTATAGGTTAGGGGCTGACCCTCTCAGCAGCACAGAAGCAGAGAGGGATCTTGGAGTCAGGATTGACTCCAGGATGAATATGAGTCGCCAGTGCAACGAAGCAATAGGCATAGCCAACTGCACCCTGTCACACTAACTGGTCCAGAGAGGTCTTGCTTCCCTTCTATGCGGCGCTGGTCAGGCCGCAGCTGGAGTCCTGTGTCCAGTTCTGGGCGCCGCACTTCAAGAGGGACATGGAGAACCTGGAGAGGGTCCAGAGGAGGCCACTCGTATGGTTGGGGGCCTCCGTGGCCAGCCCTATGAGAAGAGGCTGAGGGACCTGAATCTCTTCAGTTTCCGCAAGCGGAGACTGAGGGGGGACCTTGTGGCTGCCTACAACCTTATCAGGGGCCAGCAGCAGGGACTCGGGGAAAGTCTGTTCACCAGGGCCCCCCTTGGAGTCACCAGGAACAATGGCCACAAGCTGAGGGAGGACAGGTTTAGGTTAGCTATTAGGAAGAACTACTTCACTGTAAGGGTGGCCAGAGCCTGGAATAGGCTTCCCAGAGAGGTGGTGCTCTCACCTTCCCTGGAAATCTCCAAGAGGAGACTGGATAGGCACCTAGCTGGGGTCTTATGACCCCTCCCACCCCCAGTGCTCCTTCCTGCCCACGGCGGGGGGTCGGACTAGATGATCTGTCTAGGTCCCTCCCGACTCATTGATTCTATGAAACCTGTACTTTCCAAAACTAATAGCACAGGTGCCTGGACAGCAAGCAAGTGCATTGCCAGTACCAGCAGTTTAATATTTGTTTAGGGCTTATATCTAAGGAGAAAAGCAAGCAGTGGAAATTTACACATTGCACCTTCAGTGTACTAGATTTTCTGGGATCTAGAAATGATGATTGTTCTTGGTTAATCATTTGAGCCATTGGTTAAAGTTTGATTTTGGTATCTATCAAATGAGATAAACAGAGTTAAAATAAATAGCATAGATATAATTTTGGGATGTGAATGCCTTCTTGCTTATTAAGAGTACAAGGTTGTGAAATATGTTTCAGGAAGATCACATATTGCAATAGCAACCTTGATAACAGAAGGTGTTAGAGGATGGCCCTGCTCTCACTGGTCAGTGGCAAAACTCTCATTAAATTTCAGTGTTGCAAAATCAACCTTTAACGCACTCCATCCTGGTAATAAACATGCAAAGAAATATGATTTTTGGGAACAGAGCATTTTTTCTTGCTGTATTTTAGAAAATTATATTTAAAAAATGTAACTTATTTACATGAAAAGCCCCATTTCTCATGTGGGCAGCTATGCTAATATATACCTATTAATTTCTGTTTTGCTAGGATTGTTTCATTGGATTTGGAGGAAATGTAATCAGGAAACAAGTAAAGGAGAAAGCCAAATGGTATATCACTCACTTTAATGAACTGCTTAAAGAACTGGAAGAGCGATAAGTTATGCACTAAACTAGTATATTTTATTAACAGTATTGTAGATTGATATAAACTATACAATTAAACATATTTTTGTTTGCAAAAGTGTGTACTGGATTTCTTATTTGTGAATGTGATGCTTTCAGATGATGAGTCAGTACCTGGATGTTCCCACTCTCTCTTGAAGTAGCTATTGCACATGGTAACATTCCCAAATGCTACCCAAACATTTTATAATTAGAATTTAAGGATATTTTTATCTGATAAACTTCTTCAAGGTGGAAAAGTTATTTGGTTCCACTCACAAGCCTTTCCCACCTGAAGACCTTAGTTAAGAGTGTATTGATAAGCTTGTAACACATCAACTTACTGGTCTCCGATTAACTTCTACAACACATTTCTTCACATCATTAAAGGCTTGATTCTAGTACCTTTTACTTGTCTGGAGTAGCACGTTACAGTACAGGTGTTTATATGGGATAAATGCTGCTCGGCCGTGAGAATATAGCCCAGAAACAGTACATGTATTTTGCTCAGGAGTCTCAAAATGGGACAAGGTAGGGGATTGATATGAAGTGCACTTTACTGTATGTCACTGTTTGATTAGAGCCAGGGTAGCCTTATCCTTTGGGGACCATGAAAATCCATCAAAGGTAACATTTTCAAAATGCCTTAATGACTTTGCTTAAGTCTTGTTTTCAGAAGAGACGTAGGCATTTAGAAGCCTAACTCCTATTAACTTTCAGTGCAGGCTTTTAGCAAAGCTATAAAAGGCAATAAGTAGTGCTTACCATTATTTAATTCCATTTAATATTTTTGGTAGCTGTAGACAGAATTTTCTTTTCTTTTAGTTCTAACAAAATAAGAGCTATTAAAATGCTGAGGAAGTGAAAAGGTTAAAAAGCAAATGCACAAACCTTGAGACACGACACTGAAACACACAGATGAATACTAGATATACTGCAGCTGTCATATGATGTATTGATTGTACTCGTTCACAGGATGGACCTTGAACTATAATCATTAAACAAAACGAGAAGCCTAGCAAGTAGGTTAGGGAAACACCTATTGAGTGGAAGGCGTTTCTCTAACCGGTATGAAGCTAGTTCAAAAGAAAATGAGAATATATTTTGGAACATCAAGCATAGATTCATACTGTCAAAGATCTGCTTGGGGTATGACAGGGAAGGAAAGGAGATGATGTCTTGATTATGGTCTGATCGGTAGTATGACAGGGTGGGTGAGCAGGGCACCATCCCTGAGTGCCGACTCAGAGAGGGGGCACGATTGGAAGCTGGGACCACTGCCTCTGCCATCAGTGCCAAGGCCTCCGGGTTGGATTTGCACTAGCTAGAATGCCAGTTGGCTCTGGTCCCTTGAGAGACCAAATGCCAGTTGCAAATTAGCCATGCACAAGTGCCCTTTGTTCTCTCACACCTCCAGGGCACTGGCTGTTGCATGCCTCTGCACTTATGTTGGCTTTACATCAGCTAAGAAAGAACTCTTGGTGCTGATGGAATTCTCTGTTGGCTTGAGTGGTTTAAAGGAGCCAGGTCATGGAGAACCTTGTTTTCTCTCTGAGGTTGCACTGATAAGGATTGTAAAATGAGGACTTTATAGAGACAATGATGCTGCAGTCAGCTGAAAAGCTGTTTTGGAATATGAAAAATAAGCAGGGACAATTTGCTGGAAAGCATAGTTTGGTCTCAAAATGCCAGAAGAGGCTTGAGACGATTATTGTGCAGTGTACAGATAGTTTAAAGGGGACTGTTGCAAAAAAGATTCCGAGATTGAACCTCACTGTGCAATTGCTGGAGTATGGTGAATACTTCTACTTAGTTCTTGTAAGTACTTTTCATCCATAGACCTCAAAGTGCTTTACAAATTAAGTAAGTATCACTATTCTGGTTTAAGAGAGAGATAAGAGGCATGAAGGAGAAAGGCAACTGGCCCAGTAATATCCAGCAGGCCACAGGTCTCCCAAGGCCCCCGTCTGCTGTTCTAGTGATTAGATAACAAGGCCTCTCATTACTTGTTAGCAATCACACTAGAAGTTCAGCAGAATGGTGTAAAGAACAGGAATGTATTATTTTCTGTAAATAATTCCAGAAGGCTACATGAAAACCAGTCTGGACAGGAGTTTCATATATTCAGTTTTATTTATTGTAGAAATAAAGAATATATCTGTTTTTTGCCTGCTTCATTCAGTATTGATTTCACACCAAAAAGAATAGCTAAATGCATCAGCTGATTTAGTTTTAAAAAATTCCCTCTGAACAGACCTTTACTAGGGAGGGCAAGGTCAGCTCAGCTTAATAAATGTGCAACTATGCTCTAGCAGCAGGCAATGGGGTAGGCTGTTCACTAGAACCCTTCAGGTCCTATTTAAGACAGTCTCCTTTAAATTCTTCTTGAGAAAAATCTCAGCAAGTTCAAAAAATGGCACGAGTACAAAAAGGCTTTTGTGTGGGCAGGAGTGCTTGAGCAGGGCAAGAGTAAGCTATTCTATGCCGGTCTCCTACAGCTCCCCGACACGAGAGAGATTTTGTTACAACCTTCTTTTGAACTAAGATATTGTTACAATAATTTAATGATCAGTGCATTAGTTCTGGCATATGCTTTATTTTTAAACATAAGTAGCCCTCAAGTCAGAATGATAAGCATATAAGATTATGCAGTATTGAGACCTTAGTAGAGATCTTAAACTTCTCTCTACATGCATCTGTCAGGGTGAAAAAGTGGCAACATGGCATTGTGCCTGTTATTTCACAAGACTGTTCTGGCAGTGATTAGTTTTAAAATTGATGCCCTTTTTCATTGGGCAAGCACTGAGAGATACCTCTCCCCAGGTGGAATCAGAAATTGGTATTTAGTGTAGTTAGCAGGTAACCTGTCTCCCTCCCCGCTGACCTCTTTGTACTGCAAAGCACCCAGCAAAGAGAGGCAGCGAAAGAGTGAGCGGGGCCAGCAGCATGAGGAAAGGTTCCATACTACAGCTAAGGTACCAGGGCTAACTACACAGACTTCATTACAAAAGAGCAGAAGAAAGTTTCAGAAAATGTTCCAGGGGGTGAAATAATTGGGCAGATAATCTTGGGACCATAAACTACCACCAAGCCAAAATAACATTAAGATTTTTGGATGACAGATTAAGTTTAGTACTGTTACAGTCTATTTAACATAAGCAAGGCAATAACATTTTAAGATGTATATTCAGAATGAATGAGAAGATTCATTAAAAGCACAGATGTAGCCTCATTAGGAGAGCTAGTCATAGTTTAGGTCTCAAGACAAAACCCCTTACATTGTCATCAGACAAGGTTCTTTACACCAACATGGCTACTACCTACACCCCTGTTACACTGATTGAATTCAAACATGGATTATTGAATATCCTTTCAGGGATTGTTCCTGCTTCCCAGATTACCAGAAATTGGCACTGGCAGTGATTGTTACGAATAAAATAATCAATGTTGTGTCATTAACTGATGACACATCATTAACTGGTAGAAGAGAAATTTGCCTGTGAAGTTAAGATGAAAAGCAGCATGGACTTCAAAGTAGTGAAGGGAAGGATTCAGGCAAAGGAACAACAAAAAAACCCACCTTTGCTTATATATGCAGGAAAGGTTCTTTGATTAAATGTGATCTCTTTTATTAGACCAACTGAGTAGTTGGAAAACAGTTATGACAAGCTTTCAGGCGCAGCCACCCTTCTTCAGGCATAGGGAATATAGCTCATTATATAAGTTCATACATTGCACTCGTTTGAAAATCAGATTTTCATCTAAAATAAATGTATACCTACTTATCTTTCTGATTACAACAGAAGAGTTTGGAAGCTCACAACTACTCAGAAGCCATGTTCATGGTATATTACAGTAGCGCTAATTGTGAATAAAGAAGACCGATGAGAATTGTTCCATGTGCTGGAACACTTTTAGAATCATCCTCAGGCTTCTTTACTCAAAAAAAAAAAAAAGAAAAAAAAAAAGAAACTTCTCGTATTTCAAACAGAAATTTTGCCTGATAGGACTCGTTTCTCAGCAAGTGTGACAGTAGATAAACTAAGTGAATTACACCACTGGTAACCCACAATACATCTTATTACTTAAAAAAAAAAAAAAAAAAAAAAAAAAAAAAAAGACAAAAGACAACCGTTCTCTGCCCTGTCACATCAAAGTTGCAGGTAAAAATGGTAGTTGCAAAACTGGATCTAAAGAGACAGTGACAGCAAGAGATACTAGAATAATTATTTAACGAAGAGTAACTATGATGTTGTTTATTCTTTTGTTTTGCAGTCAAGTTAATCTGGCACAAGTACTTCTAGTTGAGAGAGGCGTGCTATTAGAACGAAACAAGGATGCTGTAGTAGGCAAAGGATGAAGACAGAGATATGGCAGCTTACAGAGCTCTCTTGTACAGAATGCCATGCTCAAATCTGCATCGTTTGTCCCCAGCTTTCCTGGGCACTGGATATTTTTCAGCAATTAAAAGCAAAAATAAGACGCACAACATACCTGGTAGAACCGCATGGTTCTTTTAACAAAGCCAATGGATTCTAGGCCAACAAATTAGCATATCCAACTGCAGTATCAGGTTTACAAACACAGATTTCTGAATCCTGTGTGGAGCTCTACTGGATCTACATGGGGTAAGGGATCCTGCACACTTCTCATTTCCATATGCCAACACCAAATACTGTTGAAATGAAATGTTTTATTTGGAGGTTGTTTGTAAACTAAGTATCAGCTCAAAGCAGGTCTTTGTGGAAGTTATAAGCATATTAGGACAACGTTGGTCATGCAAACTGTAATGCTGTGAGACATGTATTTCTATTTTTCATAACAAACACTATACAGGATGAAGACATAAGCTTCCAAGAATATGTGAAAATTAAAAGAATTTTATTGACTGACATGTTTTTGCAGAAAACTCATTGAAATATACAAATTGGACATTCAGTATTTGATTTGTATATACTGTATATTACACTGATTCTTAAACCACTTTGAATAAAGAGAATATTATTTTCACTTACATAATGTTCACATCATTACATTTACTGAAAATATCGGTATGTCCTAGTCTAAAAGAGAAATCAAAATAGAACTGGACATAATGATACGTGGCTTTATGCCAATCCTACCGACAACATGCATCAGCTTCACACATCATTTCCAAAATACCTAGTGTATAATTAGTGAAACATCTGACCAAGCATATGTCTGAAGTCATGACTGCTTATTAAATAAAACCCCTTTTCTTAGACCTCTATTATTTTTGGAAATAAATACATTTAGCTACATGAGTGCTTGTAACATTGTCACATCACTGTTCCTTATAAAGGATTGTTCCAATACTGTGGATCATACAGCCCAAAGTCCAAAGAATTGCTTAAATAAATTTAAAGTTAGTTCCAGATGTAATCATCTAGATGCAATTTCTTTCCGTCACCTTCAAAGCCGTCTCAAAATGGAATCCACTATGGTTTGTACATTTATAAGCTATCACCTAATCTTCAGTATCATTTTCTGCAAGTACTTATTCTTTGATTGTAGGTGAAAACATTTCAGTAATTCTACTGAATTGTACAATTTCAATATTCTCAGCTACTTTTTAGTTTAGAGTGGATTACTGATTCTTTTCCCAATAAAACTCCTGCCATAGTGTAAGCAGCTAGCGGTATTTCGTTGGTTCAGAGCTTTGTCTGAGACATTCTCTCTCTCGTTTCCAGGAACCAACCGACTTTGTTTTCGCGATCTGCAGTTATTACAAACACAGTACACATTTTCCTTCATACAAAAGCCATCTAAACTGTAACAGTCTTCCAGGATTAAAATACAGCGTTAATTTAAAAGTTAAACCAAACAAATAACTCCCCCTTTGCTGCTGCTAAGACTTGGAAATAGTTTATACACCAAGTCATATCAAGAACCGTAAAGCTCAGCTTTAAGAGCCAGTTTCATAGATGAACTGGTGTGTCTTTGAAAATTAAGCTTGAAACTATAATCCTACATTTATTTCCCTGGTAAATTTTTAAGTGCATCAAGTCCTTAGATTCTGAAGAAAAGAGGTCTCCTTTATAAGCTTAATACAGTACTTTCATATTTCTTACTATGATATACAGTGTATACCATAAAATTAATTTAAGACAAATACTTGTCACTTGAATCTATGTAGGCACAGGTAAATCAATGACTTTACTTAAGTGGAGAGATCTTCAATGGTATCATGATTCTGGACTCCATTTCCTGAATAAGGGGCACTGAAAAAGGGAAACAGGGAGGACTCATTTACTAATAAAGATCTTGTCGTTATTCATGCACTTAACTTACACAGAGATTTGCTGATATCAAATTACACCAATCAGTTTAACAACCTATAACTAAAGAACAGTAGATTTGAGAGAAGCAACAGGTGAAACAAGCTTATAAAACTGTTCTCTTAATTTGCACTAGAGGGTTTTGAAGACAAATCTCTATCATTTTCCACTACAACTCAAGGTTATCTTACAGTTACAATTAGGACTGTGCAAAGCAGCTAGTATTTGCTTCAGATTCGGATGATTTGGGGGCCAGTGATTTGACTTGGTGATTCATATCATTGTCCCCAATCCATTTGGCTGAACATCCGAATCACCCAGACCCATCCCCCAACCTGCTCTCACAGCCCAGCAATGGCTGCCCTGCCGGCTGCAGCTCTGGCCCTTTAAGAACCCCCCCCC